GAGAGGAGGGGATGATATAAGGGCCAAGTGTACGGCTACGATGCCGTATACTAATATTAGCATAGTGGGATTTTGGTAGCCGTCGAATTGGTTTCAATCCGGATTACTCGCTTCTGTATATAAGTTAGGGTTTTTGGCTAATTGATATGCACATTTCTGTATTCCATTTCCATATTCCATGCACTCACTATTACAATTTTCATAATTAACACTAATACAAACTGTGTTTAGCCTTCATTTGTTAAGTAAATTCATTAACAGACTTATGTCTCTCGTACATTTCTAAACATGTTACATGCTGCAAGCTTGTCTCTGAGCACATCTGGACCAGCTTAAGCACTTACTCCAAGCTGTCCATGGTATGGCATGTTATTTGTAAATCAGGACCATTGACACATGCATTCTATATCTTAAGAATATACAACCCATGTATGACCATGTATATTCTTAAAAAGTGTCAATCCACTCTAGGCAAGCTTTGTAATCTGTGAACAATGCAATTCCCAAGTGAAGCATACACCCATCTATTATAGCCATTCAAGCTTGCCCTTTTCCAGCCACAGATGGGTGTATGCTCCACTCGGGAATTGCATTGTTCACAGATTACAGAGCTTGCCAAGAGTGGATTGACATTTATGTTTCAGTTTTGTAGATGGTCTCTAGCATCATGCCAGGGAGCAAGCTGATCAAGAGAATTAGATCATGGAAGCCCTTGGTCATTCTGTTGTTCATCCCATCAAAAAATCCACCATACTGCTACCATTTGCCATGATAAATTGCCATGAATGATCCTCCCAACCTTGGTGCCTTGAGAACTAAAAGAAGATACTAACTTGCCAAGAATAAACTCTTCTTAGTGTTTGAGAACCTATGCATGTTTTTCCCACATCTCAACTCTTCCCCATTGGATTTAACTTCTACCACCCAAGTAGTCAAACTCACCCATGTGTCCATGGAATATCCTAAATCTCCCATGTGGCCCACTTGGGTAGCTACAGCATGGGAGGTTAGACAAATCCAAAGCTACCCAACTCACTTATTGATTAGAAAGATTAATTGGTCAAGCTATCCTTATTGCATTATGCAAAAAGAATTTTGTGCAAGAGAGGATGAAGAAAGGTACTTTAAGGGGAGGGGATGGTTTGGGGCTATTATGTTTCCATTAGTTGGATACAAGCCATTCTTAATTGCCCCACTATCACATAACCTTGCAAAAAGTAGATTAAGAACATTATTCTCGAACATACAAATTGACTTAGGGCATTTGCAAAAGTTTAGACAATCTCACTGTCCTTTTGAGTCCTTCTCGCAAGCTCATGTAGGAGCCTTTAACTATCTAAATTGAAAAACTAATCTCCAAACTTTCACTAGACTCTAGTGGATATTACAATTTTAGTCCATAGAAAAGTGTTCTAGGCTAACCAGCCATTCACCTATTTTGTTGTAAAAAGGGTTGCCAACCAATTTTGCATCTGGTTTAAAGTTAGGCAATTTAAAGTTGCCAAAGATAGTGGCATCACATTCATATAGTGCAACAAGGTTTTTTAACCCTTTGAACATTTTAGTGATCCTTTATAAACAAACGCACCAAATATAAAATTATAAGTAGCTAGAACATAAAGATCTTCTTTTTAGTGAACATTTAAGTATCTACCTAGTCCAATTCTTTTACATTCTAACCAAAATGGAAGTTCCTTTATCAAGGGGTCTAGAAGCATCTTCTAGATCCCCTAAACCCCCTTAATTATAAATTGATTGATCCTTAAAGCAAATACCCCACCTCTTGGCCACATCCTCTTTTCATATGCCCTTGGGTTGTTGGTGTTCTCATTATTGGAACTTTCTAAATGATTTAATAGTGAGGATTGCAATTTTCATCCCCCATGGTTATTACTTCCACCTCCATAACCAAATTTTAAAGGACTCTTATGATTCCACACTTTCACCTATAAGAATTTCCTATTATGGCATTATGAAGTTGCTCTACCAAATGCCAATTAAAATCTATGCCTTCTTCCTTTATAAAATTCTCTAACCCTATAGAAGGAGGTGAAATCATCATATGATAGCTCCTCTTGGTTTACTATAGTCCTAGATTTTGGAATTTTTCTTTATTGAAGAATCCATTGTTTTAACCACCCTCTTGGTAGCTTAGCTATTGGCATTATTGCTGTTGGTGATGTTATTGTAGCACCTTTTATAAGTCCACTAATGGATGGTTGGAATCCTTTTATCACCTCCTTTTTGACTAATTCTTCTTTATTGATGTTTAATCTAAGTGTGTTACTTAGATTTTCTCCAAGAATTGTCCTCTAATGCTTTAGAAATTAAACTTTCATTTACCATTCTCATAGATACCACGAGACAAGGGTAAATAAACATAGCATTAGTGTAATTATTTTGAAAATCTTTCCAAACCAACTCACTACTTTCTAGATTAAAGAATAGCAAAATCTTCCAAACTCCTCCCCTACATTTATATATGCAAAATGTTAACTCTTTTCTCTGATACCAAGGTATACCAAACAATGAAGTTCACCACTATTTCCCCATGTGTTTGTGGAATATCCTAAATTTGCCATGTGGCCCACTTAAGCAAGTCCCTCTAAAACACATGAAAGTAACTACAACAATAGAGGCTAGGCAAATTCAAGACTACCCAACTCACTTGTTAGCTAGAATGACCAATTAGTCAAACTAAGAGCCCCAATTCCTTGTTGCATTATATAGGAGGAATCTTATTCGAGAAAGGATAAAGAAAGAGGGGAGGAGTTGGGGCCACTATGTTTTCACTAGCTTGCTACAAACCACCATAGAACTAGTAAAATGGAGGTTCCAAAGTGTTACGCAACGTGCAATTACCCCCAATTGCCCCATTGTCACACACCCTTGTAGGAAGTAGATTAAGAATGCTTTTCTATTGATTGCCATTGCATTGCTGTTAATAAGCTATGAACCACTCTCTCCTACTGTAGAATTCTCCCTCAAAACCTCTAAATCCTCCTAGTAAAATATCTCTCAAAAACACTCTTAGATTCAAAATCACTATTTCAAGCTTACTATATTGCCACTAGTAGGCTGTGGAATGCTCACACACAAGCTTCAGGCCACTATGTTGCCATTGACAAGCCATGAAATCCCTTTGGAAAACACTTTCCATTATAATTTTACAAAAACACTTTTAGATGCTTGAGAAAAAAGGTAAGGGTCAACCTAACTCCTTGTCATCCTCCTCCTCTTTATATTTCATATTCCCAACCAAATCTCCTAAAACTAGATTTCTATACTTTGTCTCATAGTGAAGATCGTGGGCACCCAAATTGCAAAGGAATATCCCAATGGATCTTTTCTCCTAGTGCCATATGGATTAAAACACACGTTCAATTGGTACAAACTTCATCTTTATCAACTAGAAATGCCATCTTTCCAATCTCCACCTTTTGCCACTTCTAGGACCATCTTCTCCGAGCAATATGATGGCAGCCATGGTGCTTTTATATTGAGAGTGTCAAATATGTCTCACACTTGCTCATGCATCTTGATTTAACAAACTTACTATATATGCCATCTTGGTTTCCATTAACTTGGACAACCAGCATTAACTTGGGTGATGGTATAGCATGGATTGCAAATGGATCTCCTTTCACAAACTCCTTTCGGCAAACATGGCATATACCCTCCTAATTGGAACAAACTTTCAAAACATGGATGAAAAGAGATCAATCTACAACATTTAAATGATCTTAGCTGCTTACATTGCAGATGGACAACATCTATATTCTATTGAGTCATTCTCCGTTCAACTATGTTATGAGGGAAACATGAGCACACTGTCTTACATTTGAATTGACTGCTTTAAATTATTTTTGCTTTCAAATTTATATATTCAAGGTCTCATTCTACAACCCATTCTTTGCAAGTATGGCATGCAATTCGTAAAAGGGTGGATTTTACAACGGTGGATTTCACTCACATGCCTGTTATTGGTCCATATGTATTATGAGTGTGAAAAAAACACAGGCATAGAATATTTTACGAATATCCAATCCTTATGCCCCGGATGGGGCATCATGCCCATAGCAATGACCCATGCTATGTATGGAATGGAGCCATTCATGGCCCATTCATCCCATGAATTCTAGCAAGTTGTTAATGTTGCAAACCAAATCGACAATTGAACCATACTACCTTATCTAGAGCACTATATTCTCACATCTTGCTCTTGGCACTCATGGCAAAAGAACTGAATTATCCTTTTTTGGCACACCTCTTTTAACATAGTGTTCATAGCAAGCATAAGTGAACTCCATCTAAAATTTGGGAGTGTGGCAGCCTTGATCATCATCGACGGCCATCGCCATGTCCTCCCCGCATTGCCAACTGCCGCTGTGCTGTTCGCAATCATCAATGCTCCCATTGTTACCTGCTGCGGCGTCTAGGCGATCGTCGAATCCTCCTGCGCCGCAATTCTTGAGGATGGAGGTCATCGAGTTGGATGGCAACGCAGGGGAGAAGGTGATGACAAGTGATGGAATCGCTCCAGAACACTGGAATCTGGAGCTGTGATCGCGGCCATTGCTATCAATCCCTAGCATCACTGCAGCTCTCCATACCACCCGAAATATCCCCTACACCATAGCCAAAAACAGATTTTATAAAGCATAGAATAACAGAGCACTAAAGCAGGGCGCTAAGGCAAAGAAGGTCTCCTACAAATTCATCATCATTCGTGGGTGCCCTAGGCCAGAGAGAGCGAGGGTGCTGCGCTGCGCTGACCCACAATGCTCAATGTGCGACCGCCCTTTTGCACAACGCATCACCTAAGCCCTATGACCTGATGAATCCCTATCTTATGGGGTCAAATTTGATGATATGTGGCATCTATGTATAGCACATTGTTCATATTATGGGGACAATAACCTATCGGGCCAACATCCATGGGGTATTCATGAGGCATCCAAATGACATTTAATGCCGAACCAATAGAAAACTGCCACATGGACACTGTATTGTGAGTGAAATCTGCCACAGTAACACTCACCCTTTTGCACGCCATAGCAAGTCTCAAGACGGACAGTGAAAAAAAAAATGCAACCAAAAAGGAAATGTAGAGTTTTAACAACAGACTCTAGGATGCTGTGGCTGATCCTGGCGTGTGTCGCTGGCTGCTCGGTAGCTCGAGCGCCACCAGACGATCCAAACCCAGGCACACAGCCAAATGTGGTCTACTACAACCAAATCAACACCAGCGCCAACAGCACTTACCAGCGAAATGTGGTGGCTGTCATGGAGTTCCTCTACAAGAACAATCCCCCAGACGGCTATGCAACGAGCCTTGGCTATGGCGGCTTCCCAAACGCTGTCTACGCGCACAGTGGCTGCTACAACATGTCCGACCAGCCGAGCTGTGGACAGTGCATCCAGAACGCCTACACGAACATCCAAAGTGTTAATCTGTATGCCGTTGGTGGTGCGATTTGGATCAACCAAACCTTTCAAAGGTGCCGCATGAGATACGATCCTTCCAGCTTTGAGATCGTTCCTGGTAAGACCACAAAAATTTAAGTGCAATACCTTCGTTCTTCTTTTTCTTCTAGGTACTTTGGGCATTGTGGGTCCAAACATTTCATCTCCAGCTCCAGCACCAGGTCCAGGTCTAGCTTTAGGTCCAGATCCAGATCCAGATCCAGCTCCAGCTCCAGCTCCAGCTCCTCCAGATCCAGCTCCAGCTACTGGCAAGCAAAATGCTGGGACGAGAAATGGCGTGATAGCTGGTGCTGTGGTGGGAGGAGCTGTGTTTTGTTTTGTTTGTGCTGTTCTTGGGTTCTTCTTGTTAACAAGGCGAAGAAGAGAATCGGAGAAATCGGAGAAATGCGAAGACTTTGGGATCATCAAGGGTAAGGAAATCTGAAGTGCTTCTAACTTGCTGAAGATGGACCCACCTTGATCAAGGTCTCCATGTGGTCTTTTCTTACAAGGATTTGTGTGCGGCGACCAGGGGGTTCTCTGTGGAAAGCAAGCTCGGTCAAGGTGGATTTGGAACCGTTTACAAGGTTAGTTGTTTTTTATGTGAAGTCGCACAGTAGAACTATCTGTCTAAATGTTGTAGGCCACCTTAAACAATGGCTCGCAAGTAGCAGTGAAGAAGCTCTCGTTGCAGTCCAACCAAGGCAACAGAGAGTTCGTGAACGAGATCACCATTATCACAGGAATCCAACACCGAAATCTTGTAAGGCTCAAAGGCTATTGTGTCGAGGCAGATGAAAGGCTGCTCGTCTACGAGTTCCTCAACAAAGGCAGCCTTGACCGAGCGCTCTTCAGTAATAATCTTTTGCTTCCTTTGTTTCTCCTTCTAACAAAATTAAAAATTCCATCCGCAGGTTCTGGATCAAATGTGGTCCTTGACTGGCACTCACGCTTTCAAATCGCCATTGGGATAGCTCGGGGTCTTGCTTACTTGCACGAGGAGTCTCATGTTCAGATTATCCACAGAGACATCAAAGCCAGCAACATCCTCTTGGACGACAAGCTGCAGCCAAAGATCTCCGACTTTGGGATATCAAAGCTCTTCGACTTGGACAAAGGCTTCGGCTTCACGAGCACAAAGGTGGCCGGCACACTGTAAGTTTGATCTCCTCTTCCTTCCACAGTCTGGACGAAACTCACGCCATTCTTCTAGTGGATACATGGCACCCGAGTACGCAACTCGCGGGCGATTGACGACCAAAGCTGATGTCTTCAGCTATGGAATCCTCGTCCTGGAGATCGCCAGCGGCAGAAAGTGCGTGGATCCGGCATTGCCAGCCGAAGAAGAGCTCTTACTTCAACTGGTAAGTCGATCAAATTAGAACCGATAACCAATACTGTCATAGCTGCAGTCTTGGAAACTCGTCATGGCAAACAGGATGAGTGAATGCATTGACAAGAGGCTGGGCGGTGACTACGCGGTGGAGGAGGTTTCTAGACTGCTCCGTGTTGCCATGCTGTGTACGCAAGAACATGAGGAAGCTCGACCAACAATGAGTGACGTTGTGGCCATGTTGCTGGGATATCTCGAGATTGGCGCTCTTCCCACTCAAGCTCCCTTTCACTTTGGCCAGGTAATGAGCTCCTCAACGAGTACAAGTAGCGATTACTTGAATTCCATGGACATGCCGCGTTGAGCAAAAGTGTCGGAAGTTTCCGGACTCTGCCGACTTTAAGATCTTGTCCAAGTCGTCTCAAGCTGAGGAAATAAAGAAGAAAGGTACGCTGAAGCTGGATCGAACACATTTTACTAGAGTTTCTCTTAAACCATCGTGTTAGCTTGCAATCTTGCAACCTTTCTGCTGCGCAAACCCAGTGATGAGCGCCATCCACGCCACTTCATCGTGTTCTTTGAGTTGGAAATATAGGAGTATAGTAACAGCTCTAGGTTTTTGAGTTGGGCAAGAAGCTGTTAATTAGCCACGATTATAAAAACCTTCACTTTGGCCAGGTACTGAGCTCCCGGACAAGTATAAGTACTAGCGATTCCCTGGACAAACCGCGTAGTAGGTTTTCCTTGGCTTGTCCGTAGAGATCGTGAAGTTGAAACTCCACGAGCTGGATCCAGCTATTTGTCGCACTAATGACAACGTCAAGCACCTCAATATCTTGACCATTTGTCCACTAGAGCTGCAATTCATTCTTTGCCAGCGTTGAAAGCTTGAGCAATCGTGCTCATTGACTTTTTCTCCTCCTGACATTTTGATTGCCCGAAGTTGAGATGGAACTCTCGCAGTGAGAAAAAAATGCAAGAGTTGAAAAACGAAATGTAGAGTTCTAGTTCCAGCCGCAGAATGTAGGATGCTGTGGCTGATCTTGGCATGTGTCGCTGGCCGCTCGTTAGCTCACCAGACGATCCAAACCCAGACACAGAGCCAAATCTGGTATACTACTTCCCAACAAACACCAGCGCGAACAGCACTTACCAGCGAAATGTGGTGGCCGTCCTGGAGTTCCTCTACAAGCACAATCCGCCAGACGGCTATGCAGCAAGCCTTGGCTATGGCGGCTTCCCAAACCCTGTCTACGCACACAGTGTTTGCTACAACATGTCCGACCAGCCGAGCTGTGGACAGTGCATCCAGGACGCCTACATGAACATCCTTCTTTGATATGCCACTGGTGGTATCATTTGGATCAACCAGACCTTTCAAAGGTCGCATGAGATACGATCCTTTCAGCTTTGCGATCGTTCCTGGTAAAACCATAAAAGTTTGAGTAATAACTCTCCTCCTTGTACTCCGGGTCCAAACATTTCATCTCTAAATCCAGCTCTAGCTCCAGCTGGGAGGAGAAAGGGCGTTATACCTGGTGCTGTGGTGGGAGGAGCCGTGCTTTGTTTTGTTTGTGCTGTTCTTGGGGTGTTCTTGTTAGCAAGGGAATAGGAGATCAAAAGTGAAGGAAAGCAAGGTGGAAAGCTAAAATTGGTTTCATGTAGCTTTTTTTGTAGGCCGATGGCAGTAAAGAAGCTCTCGCTACAAGGAGATAAGGAGTTTGTGAATGAGCTCCAGCGTCCAGCATAAGAACCTTGTGAGGCTCAAAGGATAGGGGACGACAGGTTTCTTGTCTATGAATTTTTGGAGCAAGGGAGCCTGGTAAGTTGTTCATCCTTTTTCACTTTCATATTTGATCATGATAGGAACCAAAGAAGCGGTCCTTCTCTCTTCCAGATTGCCCACCAGTGGCCTTGCATATCTACACGGCGGTCGCCTTTCGATCGGATTCGTGTCGCTGCTTGTGTTCTTGCGTGTTCTTGGTTTTCTTTGTTCGTTCTCTTCTCTCCCTTTTTATTTGTGGCGATCTTCTCGAATCAGACATCAAAGCCAGCAACATCCTCTTGACCAGCACTTTGGAGCCCAAAATCGCAGACTTTGGGATCTCCAAGCTCTTTGACTTCGAGAAAGGTTTCAAGAGCGCAAACGTGGCTGGCACCTTTAAGTTTTTAAGTTCTGTGCGTGTTAAGTTTGTCTGATTGGTGGGTCCAAGGCCGACTGTTCAACTTTGGAGTCGTGCTCGCGTGGACATAACACGCCCGGACAAGGAAGAACTGCTGGTGCCGCTCGAAAGTTTGGCATTGTATCGATAACTTCCATACAAACTTAACGGTGACACTGTGGTGTAGGCTTGGAACTTGAGCGAGGCTGGGAGATTGGACGAGTGCGTCGATGAGAGAGTCGGGAATGACTATGTCGCCGAGGAAGTCCACAGAACGCTTCACGTTGCTTTGCTTTGCACCCAAGACTGGAGAGCTTCGACCGGCAATGGGCGACGTTTTGGCGATGTTGCTCGGCTACCTCGACCTCGGGTCCCCCAGCTGATAATTCGCGAAGGAGAAGCTCTAATCTCGATCGAGACAATGGACATGACATGGAACTGTTAAACGCACTTTACGAGCAAGCGAGGGTAAAAATCATATAAGATGAAATCCTGACAAAACTAGATGTATGATCTATGGCCGGGAGGGAAATATAGGATTAGAGATGAGCTGCTTGTGGTGGGTTCTTCTTCTCATTCTTTGTTTTGGCACACGGCCTCTCGCAGCACAGCAGCAGCGACCAGTGGACGTCACGGATCCAGGTCAACTACCAAACGTTCTCTACTACAACACCGCCAACACCAGCGAAGGCAGCCCATTCCAGCGAAATCTCGACACAGTCTTCGAATTCCTCCAGGGGTTCAATCCCTCCAATGGATTTGCAACTTCTCTCGGATATGGTGCGTTTCCCAACATCGCCTACGCGCACACGGCTTGCTACAACATGTCGGACCAGCCCAGCTGCTCATCTTGCATCCAGCAGACGTATGCCAATGTCCGAACTGTAAGTTTCGATCAACTTCTAGACGATGGATTCATTGAGTTTCACTCAGAGATTTCCAATTGGTGCCCGTTTCTGGAGGAATTCCACAGCACAAAGATGCAACATGCGGTTCGAGAATAGCAATTTTACGAGAGACTTGCCATCGGGTTTGCTTCTTGGTTTCTTGCCTCAAAGTTTTTCCTTGTTTCTTTCCAATGTCAAAGTTCTTCCATCATTGTTTATCCAGGGACGCTAGGAATATTGGGTCCAAATGCCTCCGCTCCAGCTCCACCTCCAGTGGTTCCCCCTCCAACTCCTGCTAGCACTCCAGGTACAAATCAAAGCTTTGAGCTAGAAGAGAATTCGTTCTTTCAGGCGGTGGCAGTGGCGGATCAGGCAACACAGCAGCCATTGTGGCTGGTGTTGTGGTGCCAGTGTTTTTGATCCTGGGAGTTGCCGGACTTCTGCTCGTCAAGCGCAGAAGGTCCCGACGACGACGACGACGACGACGACGACGAGGAGGGTTGCCTCGAGTTCCTTCTTCAGAACTGCAAAGTAGGACATTTCCTCCTCTTCTTCTCGCTTTGTTGAAGCTTTGTGTTTTCAGGGAGTTCGAGAGGACCCATTGCGTTTTCTTACCGGGATTTGTGTGAGGCCACCGAAGACTTTAGCGACCGAAACAAACTCGGACAAGGCGGATTTGGCACCGTGTACAAGGCAAGCACAGAAAATATAAACTTTGCCAACTTCTAAACTTGTCAGCTCGTGTGTGTAGGCTTTCTTTGGCGATGGAACCGTGTTTGCTGTGAAGAGGCTTTCGGTGGAGTCTCAGCAAGGAAAGAGGGAGTTTGTGAATGAGATCGATATTATCACCGGCATTCGTCACAAAAATCTTGTGATGCTCGAGGGATACTGTTGCGAGGGGAATCATCGGCTTATCGTCTACGAGTTTCTCGAGAAAGGGAGCCTCGATCAAACACTGTTCGGTAAGTGAATCCATCTTTCCTTTAAGCTCATTGTAACTAGGTAGTCATTGCCAGGAAAGAGTTTACTCTTAGATTGGCCAGCTCGCTTCCAGATTATCGTGGGAGTGGCGAAAGGCCTCGCTTATCTCCACGAGGAATCACACGAACAGGTTATACACCGGGACATCAAGGCCAGCAACATCCTCCTTGACAAAATGCTCCAGCCGAAGATCTCCGACTTTGGAATCTCCAAGCTGGCGGGAGTGGACAGAGAAAACACAACCACGAGACTGGCCGGGACAGTGTAAGCGTTTCTCCTTTCTCGCTTGTTATTCTGGAACTCACCAGTGTGTAATAGTGGATACATGGCACCCGAGTACGTTCTTCGAGGGCGACTATCTTCCAAGGCCGATGTTTTCAGCTTTGGAGTTCTTGTTCTCGAGATCATCAGCGGCAGGAAGTGCATGGATGACACACTTCCTGTGGAAGAAGAAATCCTTGCGCAATGGGTAAAACATGATCTCAAGCTTGGTGTTTCTTACTTGTTTCCTCTGGTGGCAGGCTTGGAGCCTCTTTGGTGCTGGAAAGCTCGAAGAATTAATCGATCCTAGACTGGAAAAGTTTTACATCGCAGAAGAGGCTCACCGAGCCACGCACGTCGCATTGCTGTGTAGCCGAGAATTTGAAGGGAGCCGGCCAACGATGAGTGCCGTGGTTGCGATGCTCATGGGTTACCTCGAGCTAGAGCCGCTCACCACGGTAGACACTCCCAACTACTTTGGACAGATTCGCCACCATGGTTGGACGACGACGACGACAACGACGACGTCACAAACCGGCTCTTCTTACGCAGCTTCTCCCTTGACTGCTACGAGCGCACGCTAGTCAAAGTCTGCCACCTTTCTCGAAGCCTGAAACCTGGTGTCTCGCACTTTTGTCAGTGGCGGAAAAAGTGTGGAAGGACTCTGGGAGCCACGCTGTCGAAGATTTCGCAGCAAAATCAAAAGTGGCGAATCTCGGCAAAGATTGATCATATGTCCAAGTGAATTGTGTTTAAAGACTAAGTCAAGAAAGACTTGGATTTTTTCGATGAGTACTTGTGCTCTTTTTGGATGTAAGCCTAGATGCTAATCCTGAGCCCAGATGCTAATCCTAATCCTAAACAAAGAATGCGGAGCTCCTGGTGAACGGGGAGCTTGTCCTCAAGTCGCTCGACTGCTCGGCCAGGGCTTACAGGATTGCTGACAAGCGAACGGTTTTACCATGACGCTGAGGAAGAAACGGTGTGGATCTCATTCCCAGGCACCGCAGTTCTAGAGGATGTGGTGATGGATTCCGACTATAGGCTTTCACCACTCTGGGAAGGCCTGCAGGCACCAGCGCATTGGGGCTGCAACAGTTCCAGTGACTTGTTCTTTGAATCCCTGGCTCACAGAGGCTTCACAAGAAGATTTGCTGAAATCTGGAGAGATGGCAAACTCACGAACACCGTAAGTTCTTACTTCTTTCTTTCTCCCCTTCAGGATCGAGGTCCGCATTTGCAGATTGAGAAGTTGGAAGACAGTCAAAACATAATTATCTTCACAGGCCACTCACTCGGAGGCGCCATTGCGGCCCTGGCCACGCTGTGGCTTCTTTATCTCAGTCGCACCGCCACCGCGATCAAGCTCCAGAAGCTGAGATTTGTGTGCGTCACGTTTGGGATGCCATTTGTGGGCGACGTGAAGCTGAGCGAGCTTGCGCAGAGTCAAGGCTGGGACGATCACTTCGTACACGTTGTTTGCAGGCACGACATCGTCCCCAGAATGCTCCTTGCTCCTCTCAAATCCATCTCAAAGTCTCTCCGAGCGCTCCTCCCCTTCTGGAACTCGAGAGCAAGCGCTACTAGTGCTCGTATCAAACACGGTGGTGCCAAGGAAGAGGCGATTACTACTGCTGCTGCAATTGGAGAAGCATCGGCCAGCTTGGTGAATACTGTTGTCAAGGCATCTGCACAGGTCGCGAGTGCGGTCTACACCGGATTCGCTAACACTTTGCTCCGGAGCATTTGCAAAGTGAGCCCCTACAGGCCTTTTGGAGCTTACCTCTTCTGCAGCACCAGTGGTGCTTCTATGATCGACAAGCCCGTCACAGTGTTGCAGATGCTGCACTTGACACTCCAGGAAAAGGATCACGGGGTTTCGTCCAAGCCTGCCGCACACATCTTGGAGCACACGCTATGGCACTACATGCAAATCCTACAGACGCTGCCGGACATAATGGGTAAACTAGGTGGAGAGTTTGCGCAAATGGCAGTGGAGGAAACACAATCGGTGTTTGAGTTGGAGATTGCTCTCCAGCTTCACGCGTTGGGCCTCGGCATCAAAGTAACAGCATTTCCTAGTCGCCCAACGGGGCTTTATGACGTTTGGTTGTCTTCTAGGATGTTCAGAACAGGTTGGTGCTTTTCCAGGACAGGAAAACCAGGGAAATGGTGGAGGCCAATGCAGCTAACAGGCACAGCGAGTTTGCCAAGGTGCTACATGCAATGGCAAAGCTGGAATGGTTCAAGAGGCAGTGTGAGAAAAAGATGAAGCACTTCAAGCTGTATAATGACGATATGGCTTTGGAAGCCAACTTGAACCGCATGGTGGAGACAAACTTTTGGGATGAAACCATAGACATGTACTCAAATGGTTTGCTTCCTCTGACGTTCAAGGCGCAGAACAAATGGGTTAATTCTGGGCACACTTTTAGGCTCTTGGTTGAGCCTTTGGACATTGCCAATTACTAACGACTTGGGAAGAGAGACGACACTGGGAGGAGCTACTTGAGTGCAAGGCCGAAGCGTTACAAGGTACTGGAAGAATGGTATAGGCACAACCAAATTACAGGAGGCCGAAACATTGATGGGAGCTCTCTGCCAGCCTTGACTCAAGACTCGGTGCTATTTGCCAGGGTTGAAGAAGAAGGAACCTTAGAATTACGTGCTGAACATATCAAAGACTTGGCCAAAGACATTGAGCTCTCTTTGTGGTGGTTGACCAAAGAAAATAAAAACTAGGATTTTGCATGTCATATAACTATTATGTAGTATATGCTACTCAATTAGCAAACACTGTTTTGATTATTATAATTTTGTTACATTGAAAATTAAATTGGAATAGTATTAACACAATAAATATTACATTCCACTTTGAATGACGATTTGAAAAAGTAAATGTTTCCTCAAAGAAAATTATCAAATTCTTTAAAAGGAATTATAAAATTCAAGAGGCCCATCAAATTTCCACTACAAAAGGTTAAATGTCAATATTAGTCATCATATTGCATATGACACATATCATCTCATCTCACCCCACCCCCATGTGTTCAGAGCAAACATTAGCATGTTTATTCACTAAGATGTGGTTAAAGAACCTTTTGACAGTTACCCCTTATCAGCCAGTAAATCCATCAGTCCCGTGGACTTGGTGGTTGAACTCTGCATCTGAGTTCCATGAGTAGGTGGTGACTCCATATGTGTTATCTTGCTAACGTTCTTCTTTTCCATGTTGATCTTATTATACAAAGTGGGGCTAAAGATTTCCATGGAGTTAACTGAGTTTTGTTAAATATTGTACTTTGCCTTTTTCCTCAATTGTGTGACAAGAGCTATCTGTGTCCACAACTCTAGTCCTCTTGATAGACTGCTGTGAGGATCTCCAGGTTGAAGCCAAATCTTTTGGTCCACTCCATGTTGTGCCACCATCCTTTGTTGGTCAAGAGCTTTTGAGTTGTTGATTGCCGCATCTGCAAGTTGAGAATCTACTTTTCTGAACATATACAATGGTGCCAGATGAGGATCTCTAACAGTAACAAGCCCAACTCCATGACCATGATTGCATAAGTTTTCTCGGAATAGAGCCTCAATTGCCATTGTTTCATGCCGAGTCAGAGTCCCCACATCTCTGCACCATACAACACAACTGTGGTGACCTTCATGAGATAAAAGACTGTGTTGATTTCCCGTCTGTGCAAGTCAGCCCTCCCGGAATCTGATAATAGCTTATAGTATGCTCGTTCAGCTGCTTTCCTCTGCTCCACTACACCACCTGCCCCCCAATGAGTCACGTAGCTGGAATATTTGTATTCCTCCACATGCAGGATTGGTAGAAGACTTTCTGGTTCTGGTCTAGCCCAAAGATCATTATCCACGTTTTGTTCAGGTTGATGTTGAGGTCAGATTCGCTGCAGATTTGTAATTAAAGTTCCTCCGTGCAGTATGTCATCAGCATAGATAAGCATGAACATGCTAGCCAATTGGATTGCCCAGAGGTGTCAGTTGTCCTCTAGTGAACCACTATTGGTTCTAAGCTTCGATAAAGGTACTAGTGATTAGACCTATGTGCATAAAGAAGGTACCATCAATTTATAGTTGAATTGAATTGAACTGAAGATTCTGTTTTGGCAGTGTTGTGGTGGCCAGGAAAAAGTTTGTTGTGGGGGTCTTCTCGTGTCCTCCATTCCCATGCTCACGTTCCTCCATGTCCCCGCCCGAGTCACCCTGAGGCCCTTTCTCCAGCCGCACTCCCTCCTCCCTTTCTCGCTCCAAGAGCCGTGTTGGAGCGGCCAGAGATCTCAATCGCGGCAAGCGCTGCCAGCTTTGTGGCCCAGGGCCTCACCTTTGCTCTTCTAACTTGGTGGCCTGATAATACTTCCCGAGCACCCAATGGTTCAAATCTGATCTTTGCAGTCACATGTTTCTATGGCAGAAATAAGTATGAAGTCTTCATATCACACAGAGGGCCAGATACAAAGGTATCATTTGTTGATTCCCTGAATCAGGAGCTCAAGAGGCAACAAGTGCACTGTTTCTTTGACAAGGAAGAACTGCAACCAGGACAAGGAATCCCCAGTCAATTACTCAGGGCACAGAGGGTTGCCAACATCTATGTCATTGTTTTCTCTCCCAAGTTTGAAGAATCAACGTGGTGCAACATAGAAGTTCTTGAGGCTGTCAAAGCCATGGAGATGCAGCCGGATTGCAAAATCATTTATCCTGTCTTTCATGGAGTCAATCCTGGGGTCGTCCGACATGGTTATAGAGATTCGTTTGCAGCACTGACAGCCAAAGGTCGTGCCACTGCGGAAGAGGTTCAAGAGTGGATAGCGGCATTCACAACGGTCTCGATGATCTCAGGAGTGGATCTCAATGAGTTAAGTTTTATCATACAGAGTTTTTTAAGACTTACATGTTGTCTGGTGTGCAGACAGACGAGTGTTACAACTGCAAAGATTGCCAAAGACATATTTCAGTTGCTTTTGAATGCAGCCGGTGGAGAAGATGATGATCCAAGTGAAAATGGGTACGTCGATAGTGAAGGCCGAGTGGCGGGCATTCTGTCCAGGTTTAGAAAGAGCGGGCAGATGGTGACAAGCGTTGGTATCACTGGGCAAGGCGCAATTGGGAAGACGAGACTTGCCAAGGAGGTTTTCAACAGGATTCAAGGGAATTTTGAGGCATCTTGTTTCGTGAGGGTCCGGTAGGAGGTTAAGGGCCACGGCACCAATGCCCTCTTTGTCAGGATTGTCAAAGACATCTCAAAGGTGGAACTCAGCGAGTCCAAAGCTCGACATTATTTGTTCCAGCAAAAGCACCTGTCCAGCGTCAACGTCATGCTGGTGCTTGACGATGTGGAAAGCCACGCCCAGCTCCTGAAGCTGCTCCCTCCTCTGGGACGTTCCAGCCGCGTGATTGTAACCAGCCGAGACAGAGACACCCTCAGGAGCCTCACCTTCATCCATGAAGTGGGTCAACTAAAGCACGAGGATGCGAGGATGCTTTTCAAGCAGCATGCCAAACCGGACGCCGGACTGGATCGAAGCCTGGTGAAAGAGATTGTGGGCGAATGCAAGGGCGTACCCCTGGTGCTCGAAGTGGCTGGTTTGAAGCTCCAAGGGAAAAGCGATGAGCGCGACTGGAGAGGCGCCAAGAGCAAGTTAAGCTCCTATCCAGAAGTTGTGGACAAGTTGCGCATCAGCCTGGAGCCGCTGCATCAAAGAGAGAGGGAAATCTTTCTCCACATTTGCTGCTTCTTTGGAGAGGTGAGCAGGGCAAGTGTTTTCTGGATCTGGGAAGCCATGCGTCAGAGGAGAGCATGATGAACCATGATATCAAAGTCTTGTTGGACAAGCACTTACTGCGGCTGGAAAGCTTGAAGTTGATGCCGTATCACGATCTCATACGCGACATGGCCCGCGAGGAAGTGAACAGGGAATCCCAAAGCATTGGAGAGAGGAGCCGGATCTGGAACTGCTGAAAACTCTTGACCAGAAGCATGGTAAGTTATGAGACGTTGACTCAGCTCTGTGTTTCTTTTCCAGGGGACTCCAAAGATCAGAACACTGACCTTGTTTGGCAGCAAAGTCTCAAGACGAGACACACGTTGCTTCAACGTGCTCAACGGTCTTGCCTTCTTAACCAGGGGTCTTGTCAGATCGACGGGGACTTTAAGCAGATGCCATATCTAAATTATTTGAGTTGGAGAGGCATGACTTTGGATGTACTGCCTTCGTCATTCATCCCCCGCCTCGAAGACAATATCAGCTTCTTGGACCTTTCTGGAAGCAACATCAACAGGCTTTGGGATGACCATGACGAGCACAGTAACAAGTCGCAAAAGGTTAAATCACCATTCATAAGACCATTTTTCAGGTGGTAATGGACAAATTGGTGGAGTTGGTGTTGGATAAATGCAAAAGCTTGACAACCATCAAACAAGTGGAGCTATGTAAAGATATCAGAAGTATCTCGTTGAGATTTTGTTCCGCTCTAACACGACTTGCCAACTTGACTGAAAAGCTTGAGATGCTCAACCTTACCGGATGCAAAAGCTTGACTCTGCTACCAGACTTTCCCAGCCACTCCAGGATCAGAAGGCTATCTTTAAGGTGGTGTTCCAGAATTCAGGAGCTCCCTGACTCTATTGGCAACCTTTGATCTGGCTGGATCGGTTTCTAGTCTCCCTGGGGCATTTGGCAACATAAAAAAGCTCGAGAATCTGGATATCTCGTTCTGCATGAGCCTTAGCTCATTGCCGACGTCGTTTGCTGGGCTGTCTCACTTCAAGTCTCTCCACATATTTCAATGTGGTATCGTGAAGTTAAATCAAGGTTTTGGTGAGGTGAGGAGCCTTGTTAACCTCGACAAGGCGGAGTGCTCGCAGTTGACAGAGCTCTCACCTGATTTGGCAAGCTGGTGAGCTTGGAGGAGCTGATCCTCAAGAACTGTAAGGAATTCAGCATGCTCCCTCAAGGCTTTGAGAACCTGAAAAATCTGTTGAAGCTGGATCTCGAAGGATGTGCTCTTGTTCAACTGCCGGATGCTTTTGGAGGCCTCGGTTCATTGAAGAGGCTTAATATTGCATATAGCTGGATCAAAGCCGTGCCTCTCTCAGTTTCCTATCTTCACAAAACAGAACAGCTTCTGCTCGATCACTGCTTCCTATTAACTAAACCGAGCAAGCGAGGGTAAAAATCATATAAGATGAAATCCTGACAAAACTAGATGTATGATCTATGGTCGGGAGGGAAATATAGGATTAGAGATGAGCTGCTTGTGGTGGGTTCTTCTTCTCATTCTTTGTTTTGGCACACGGCCTCTCGCAGCACAGCAGCAGCGACCAGTGGACGTCACGGATCCAGGTCAACTACCAAACGTTCTCTACTACAACACCGGCAACACCAGCGAAGGCAGCCCATTCCAGCGAAATCTCGACACGGTCTTCGAATTCCTCCAGGGGTTCAATCCCTCCAATGGATTTGCAACTTCTCTCGGATATGGTGCGTTTCCCAACATCGCCTACGCGCACACGGCTTGCTACAACATGTCGGACCAGCCCAGCTGCTCATCTTGCATCCAGCAGGCGTATGCCAATGCCCGAGCTGTAAGTTTCGAACAACTTCTAGACGATGGATTCATTGAGTTTCACTCAGAGATTTCCAATTGGTGCC